TTTTTATAAAAATTTTCAAATTTTTTTAATTTTCTAATAAAATTTATTGGTATTAAATAGCTTAAAATTGGAAAAATTAGAAGATTTCAATAGCTTTCAATCTTAAAGTATAATATCTCTGGATACTAAAATAAATACTATATGTTAAAATAAATATAATTTAATAGTCTAGACCAAGGATACTTGTCTAAACTCATTCTAGATTTAGCAAAATGTCTAAATTATAGTTTCACTAAATTTTTATTAAGGTTTTGATATAGTTTCATATTTTTATAAGCTTTGATATAGTTTTATCTTTTTCAGAATTTAGTAAATTTTTTAATAGATTTTTAATATAATTTCACTAAATTTTACCTTTTTCCATTTAGATGACTTGCAAAATCTTTAAGTTTCATTCAGAAACCTTAGTCTAAACTCAGTCTTGATTACAGTTGTATATAAGTTATAGGACTTTCATAAAGATTAAGTCAGTCAGTCTACATACTAGAACTTATAGATTTTAGAACTTTAACTGAACTTTAACAGACCTTTTATACCTATACTAAGACTCTATTTGATAATATTATATATTTCACTTGCTTATTTCTCTAGTATTTTTTGAAATTAAATAATAGTAAACATATAAATTATTTTTATATATCAAAAATATTTGAATTTTATAACAGATATTTATATATATTAGCTTATAAATAAAATTCAAAAATAGTTTCTTAAGGAAATGATTACTACAAGAAATTTCAGTTTCTAAAATTCTTATTTTAGTAAGTATCAAGATATATTTCTATTATTTAATACTTTGTATTATATTAGAAGTATATTCTAAAAATACAATTTTAAATCTTTAAGAGCTATAAAAATTGATAATAAATAAGAGATCCAGAATAGTTATTAAAGTGCACAGTTTATTGAATGACTATTTTATTGGCTAAAAAATTAAGCATTATGTTAATTTCTAATTTGATAGTATGATTAATAAATATATTATATAATTAATTAAAGTGATTAACAAATATATTTATTATATTACTTTAAAAAAATGAAAAAAGTGTACTTAATAAAGTTATGTAAAATATTTAATAATATCCCTAAAAATTTATAAAAAGTTTTAATATTGTATTTACTATATTGATCTTAAAATAGTTTTCTCTAATTCCATTTTAATTTAGACTTTATTTAATAGTAATATCAAGAGAAAAATCATATCAAAATAATGGTTCTTGTGTTATATGTAATTAATACAATTTTGAAAAAATTTAGAAGATTAAATAAAAACTTGTTAAAGTAAAAAAAATCCTATTACTCAACAATAATAACTTATATTTGAACTTAATCTTAACAAATAATTATGTTAACAATATTATAATAATTTTATTATTTATAATAGAAGAATAAATAAATTACAAAATAAAAAAAAAAATGCTAACTTATAATATTATTTAGAAGAAATTAAACAAAAGAAGATTTTTTTGTTATAAGAAACACATAAATATATAAACATATTAAATACTGTAAGTAGGAGGCTTATATAACAAATAGAAAAATTGGAGTTTTAATTTAATCAAAGGTAAATTTTTTAAATTTATTAAATCAATTAATTTTATTTTTTTAAATATTAAATTTATTTAGAAACAACTAATTTTTCAAAGTTTTTTAAATAAGATTGAATGTATTACAAATATTTTATATAAATATTTTTAGAATAAAAACTTATCTCTTTGGAATTTGAAGAATTAATTGTAAGTTATAATGAACAAGTTAAAGGATTTTTCAATATAGTTTACTAATCTATGAATCATAAAAGCAAAAGTTACAAACACAACAATTATTAAAACAAAAAATTATATTACTATTTTATCAAATTATAGTAATGTAAAATACAAATTAGTGATGCTAAAATAGCAATTGGATTATTTTTAATCCATTCAGATTAGTATTCTGCACAGATTCAGATTAATCTGAATCTAATTCAAATCTGATAGATTGAATTCAGATCAGATTTGTCAGATTTAGATCTAATTCAGATTCAGATTTAGATTGAATCTGATCTGTTAGATTTGGATTCAGATTCAAATCTGATTTGTCAGATTCAGATTGGATTCAGATCTGATTTGTCAGATCTGAATTTAACTTTTTTAAAACTGAAAAGTTCCTTTTCAATGAAAAGGAACAAATTTTTAGACTTTTTTAGAGCCAAAAATTTGTTTTCTTTCATTGAAAAGAAATGAATTTTCAGATCACTTATAGAACTGAAAAGTTCCTTTTATTGAAAAGGAATGAATTTTAGAATTCTTTTAGAGCTGAAAAGTCCCTTTTATTGAAAAGAAATGACTTTTCAGAACTCTTTTAAAGCTGAAAAGGTTCCTTTCAATGAAAAGAATGACTTTTCAAAACTTTTTTAGAGCTGAAAAGGTTTTTTTTAATGAAAAGAAATAACTTTTCAGAACTCTTTTAGAGCTGAAAAGGTTCCTTTTATTGAAAAGAAACATTTTCAGATCTCTTTTAGAACTAAAAATTCATTTTTTCAATAATACTTTTAGATTCAAATCAGATCAGATTTGGACTTAAACTGATCTGTCAGATCCAGATTTAAGATTTGATCTATCAGATTCAAATCAGATCTGAATTTCAACAGATTTATCAGATTCAGATTAGATTTAAATCCTAAAAAATAAAAATTGAATCAGATCAGATTTGGATAAAATCTGATCTGATCTGATTTTACAGAATACTAATTCAGATGTATCAATAATTTGTGAAAATACTTTAGTAAATATGAGAATATATTTAATATATCAAACTTTATATAATAAAATAGAATCTATTATAAATAATCATCAGCTTAATGTAAAAGTATATATTGATAAAAATATATATTAAAATAAATTTATATTTTTTAATATAAATATTAATAAACTAATTATATAATTTATTTAGTATAATAAACTTATAATAGGTTGTATTGATGATTATCACAATTTGCATAGTACACAAATTCCTTTTGTAACTTCTAAAGATCAAATATCATATATAATTATTATATTATTTAATATTAGTGAAGCATTATTAATTCCTTATTATACTAATGATTATTTATCTATATATAATCCAAATAATGTAGATGCATTTATTATTAAAATAGTATCTTAGATTATACATCTTATTTCTTTAAGTAAAAATTACTTCAATTAAACTTAACTAGAATAATTATTATAAAAAAGAATTAATATAATCATTAACTATACATTTATATGATACAGATATCTGAAAAAATATAATTGAAAATTTGTTCTAAAACTTGTAGATTTATTATCATTAAAAAATACCAATAATTATATTTAAGCAATTTAATCTTTTATTGAGTATGTAATTATATAATTTATTATAATTATAAAATTACTTATAATAATTATTTTTATAGGTTACCTGAAATAAAAACCTATTTAAAATAGTATATTATTCCTATTCCTATAGATTTTTTTGAACAATTAGTTGTGAATCAATCTTTTTTGTTTTTTGATCTTTTTTTAATCAATTATATTTAACAATATTTTTAATATTAAAAAAAAAATTGCAGTTAAACCAAAATCTTAAAAAATTAATTTATTAATGTATTTAGCAAATTTAAGATAAAAATTGATAAAAATATTATCATAAGATTTAACAATACAAAAAGTAAAAGTACTAAATATAAAACATTTTTTGATTTACTTGATAATCTTATTTTAGCAACTTTAGACATCTATATAGTTCTCTTTAGAAACAATAAGTTTAATAAATATGTTAATACAATATTTCATTTATAAAATATTTCAAAAATACAATTATGAAAAATTCTTCTTGTCTTTTATCTGATATGTATTATTGAAAATCCATTAAATAGAAACTTTAAAAAATAATTTAAATATGTTTGATGAGTATATTATTGAAAAATTTCACAGTTTCTTATGAAGACATATCATAGCAAAAGTTTTCTCAAGTAAATTTCATAATCACGATACTCTTTTCATTGATAATTTTCAAAATGAAAAGTTATTTACTACATCATTTATATCAAAAAGAGGTTATCTATATAAAAAAAGATTTGAATGAAATAATCAAAAAAACTGCTCTCTTTTTATTGAATTTCTTTGATAAAATTTGGAAAAATAATAATAAAGTAGAAAAAAAAATGGAGGAAAAGAAAACCAAAAACCTTATTATTATTTTACATTCATTCCTACAAGTTTTCCTTTTGGTGCTTTACCTCTTGAATATCATTCTCCTATATCTCCAAATATGAAAAAATTTTGTAAAAATAACTTAACATATGAAGGTGAAGTTTTGATATGTGATCATACATATCATGAAGAATGTTTCAGGGTATTAGGTTTAAAATGTGAACATTTTTATAAATACCTAGATGAATCTATTGATGAATTGACAAAATCATATAATCAAAGATTGCATATAGAAGAAGCTCAATTAAAATCGAATATTAATGAAGATATTTGTGAACTTGAAGAGACTGATAGTTATAAATCAAAAATTGAAACCGATTCCGAATTACAAAAAAGAATACTAGGTATAATAAAAATATTGTATGTAAATAAAAAATTTTTATTAACAATCAAAATTTTTAGAGTTTTCGAATCAAACTCACATCACAAATTCGCAACGAACAGTACGAGACAATATTTATTTACCAAATATTTAATGTTATTTATCATTTAAAAAAAAAAATTTTTTTAATTGGCTGGTAAATGTTGATCGTCACGTGAATTAAACCAATAGATTTTAACCATGTCTGAGTGATCCGATTTTTTAATTTTTTACAAGTGAAACGAAACAACGAAACAGTTAGATAAATTTTTTATTATGGAACGTGAACCACGCCTTTTTCGACAAGATATTTTGAGCATCTTTGTGATCCAACTGTAAATTATGTCCATGATTACTTCAAGAAACGGAAAGCAGCTACCTGGTGTATTCAAAGTTATATCGAGTATATATCTGAAACCGAGATGGAGTATGACTTCGTTCAATATTACAATCTTTTCACCGATAGCTTGGCTCAACTAAATCGACTCGTGACTACGCCTAATTCAATCAGAGCTTTCTGTAACAGTTACCTTACGTGGTTGAAGGTGCAGTATTGTTGCAATTTTTGATTAATACATAAAACCCAAAACTCATACACAAACTCGAATAATTTATAGTCTAATTCGGGAGTAGCAATAACAGGAACATGTGCCAAATTTTTCGAAACAAGAAAAGTGCATAAGCGATCTGTTTCCATCCACAGCACTTCTGAGGTGGGTTGGTATGCATGTATGCACACTTGTTTCGAACAGAATACTCACATATTATCACCTGCAGGATGTGGTATGCCTTAACGCAAAATCCGATATCTTCCAAGCCCATTTGCAACCAGAGTCTGTTCCGCCTAATCTTCCGCCTGCACCCAAAACTCCACCTCAAAATTTCAGAGACTTAACGCCATTAATGTCAACTTCTAATAAGCGACCATACGAGAAGGAAGAACTTCAGCTGTAAGTCCCGTTTTTCTACTTGCTACATATCACTGAGATTCTTAACTTTGCTCTCTTTATATGGTAGGTTTATCCAAGACATCTCCATAGTATGTGCATTTGGGGAGACGATTGAGGAGTTGTCATCAGAAATTGGAGAGGAACTTGCTGTGGAGGCATCCTCTATGCGTGATATTAATCCTGCCGTATGGACACCTGCCTTGGAGAAGTATCTTGATACTATCTTCGAAGAAACAATGGATAATTTCCAAACTAAAGTCCGGACTAAATTGTCGGAGGATGGAGATGAGCTTTTTAGACTCTATTGCGAAAAAGTTCTCATTGAATTGTATGTAAACATTAATATCTATTTGTATATCAAAGAGGATACCAATAATTGCTTTCATTTAGTTACTACCTCATAGATGTCGATCCCACAATGAGCAGAAAAATAGGAGAACGAAAACACATAGTATATCAGGTCTCCTCTTTATTTAAATATTACGAAAGAACTTTTCTTAACCTTGAATTCGATTGGATCGAATCACAAGCTCGCGCCGCAAAAATAATGAAGTCTTCAACCAATTCTGGGATTGTGCGAGTGGATGTTAAGGCAATAAGATCCTATGATGGATTAGATGTTTGGCACATGGAAGTTGCAGGCACTCCTTATAATGCGAGCGAGAAGCGTACTTTAGGTGACTCGAAGAAAACCCTCCGAACCGATATTTTGAATTTAATCGCGATATTACGGGACCATCTCGATTGCGAATTGGAACTTGCAATGAAGCTTAGGGTGTTTAGCACCCAGTCAATAAGTAAGTGTATGGTTTATGTTAAGAGGTTGTGTTTTCTAATACTCTATTCCCATCACTTCAGACAATCGACTTACTCTTTATGCTCTCAGCATGCTTCCTGACGGACGTTTCCTCGTAACGGAGCTCGCTACGGCCACCATACCTTTCAGTTTTAACGCCCGGAGCCAATATAAAGCTGTCCTTAGGATGATGGCCATCTTCCACGTATGTGTTTAGATTAGGTACCTGACCATACTTTTATTTTCTGGTAATTCATACGGTGTATCTTTTCTGTAGGATGAAATGATAAAGCAGGAGGCACTGATGGAAAAAATTAATCGATCTGTACTTAGGACTAAAAAAACGAAGGTCCGCGATGTGTTAGGATTCCTGAGTTAGAATAACTCATTTATTTTGCAATTTTTTATCAGCCAGTTTTCTGCTAAATAATAATCGATTTATTTTATAATATTGTCATTAATTGCTCTTCTAACCATAGTAGTTTCTTTTCTCTCATTTTCTATTCATGAATGCTTCTTATCTAATATTTTTAAATATTGAGTTTCTATTCCTGCTATTTTATTTTATTTTTTCTTTTCAATAAGCCACTTTGATGATTAAAAATATTTGGCCTGCTATTTTTTTTTCTTTTTTCTTTTTACCCACATTGTTCATGCGGTCCTCAGACGGTGGATAATGCCTGGAAGTGTGACCTTCTCAACACAATCCTATTTACTGGTTTAACTCTTAGGTGATCAGTTGGTAGAAGTGCAAGTAGAAAGATCTCACTTAACCCTTAGGTGGTGAATTTTCTGTTTGTAGAAGTAGGCAGATGGTAATCTTTTCATTCTGTTATTGGTTTAACCCTCAGGTGATCAGTTGGCAGAAGTGCAAATAGAAAGATCTTACTTAACCTTTAGGTGGTGAACTTTCTGTTTGTAGAAGTAGGCAGATGGTAATCTTTTTATCCTGTTACTGGTTTAACCCTCAGGTGATCAGTTGGCAGAAGTACAAGTAGAAAGATCTTACTTAACCCTTAGGTGGTGAACTTTCTGTTTGTAGAAGTAGGCAGATGGTAATCTTTTTTTCCTGTTACTGGTTTAACCCTTAGGTGATCAGTTGGCAGAAGTACAAGTAGAAAGATCTCACTTAACCCTTAGGTGGTGAATTTTTTGTTTGTAGAAGTAGGCAAATGGTAATCTTTTTATCCTGTTACTGGTTTAACCCTTAGGTGATCAGTTGGTAGAAGTACAAGTAGAAAGATTTCACTTAACCCTTAGGTGGTGAACTTTCTGTTTGTAGAAGTAGGCAAATGGTAATCTTTTTATCTTGTTACTGGTTTAACTTTCAAGTAGTGAATTTTTTGTTGTAGAAGTAGGCAAATAGTAATCTTTTTATCCTGTTATTGGTTTAACCTTCAGGTGATCAGTTGGCAGAAGTGCAAGTAGAAAGATCTTACTTAACCTTTAGGTGGTAAACTTTCTGTTTGTAGAAGTAGATAGATGGTAATCTTTTTATCCTGTTACTGGTTTAACCCTTAGGTAATCAGTTGGCAGAAGTACAAGTAGAAAGATTTCATTTAACTCTTAGGTGGTGAACTTTTTATTTGTAAAAGTAGGCAGATGATAATTTTTTCATCCTATTTACTGGTTTAACCCTTAGGTGATCAGTTGGCAGAAGTGCAAGTAAAAAAATTTCACTTAACCCTTAGGTGGTAAATTTTTTGTTTGTAAAAGTAGGTAAATGGTAATTTTTTTTATTCTGTTTATTGGTTTAACCCTTAGAAGATTAGTTGGCAGAAGTGTAAGTAGAAAGATTTCACTTAACCTTTAGGTGATAAACTTTCTGTTTGTAGAAGTAAGTAGATGATAATTTTTTTATCCTATTTATTGATTTTAACCTTTAAGTGATTAGTTGATAGAAGTATAAGTAGAAAGATTTTACTTAACCTTCAGGTAGTAAACTTTTTACTTGTAAAGTAGGTTATCAAGTTTTGTGTCAATTTTCAGATGGCAGATTGGTGAAAATATTTGATTTCTTAATTTGTATTTTTTTTTGCATTATATTATTTATTATTTATTAACTATTATATTTTTAAGATTTGTACTAAAGAAAATTAAAAAGCAAAATTAATTAGTATAAAATTTATATACAGTCAACTCTTGATATAGCGAACTCTTGATATAACAAATTTTTTGAATAAATATAATAAAAATACTCTTATTATAGTGAATTGGTCAATCAAATTTCTTAAAATTTTTACTATAGTCTTATAGTAAATTTGAGATCTAGGATATAGAGTTCGTTATAACAAGAGTTGACTGTATAAAATGTTAATAAAGTATTTGTTTATAAGATTTATATTTTTTATTATAAATAAATATCTTAAGTAATTTGAAAACTCTGTATAAAGATAACATTAATATGTATATCATATGATCATAAAGAAATTATATGATTTTATTAGACTTCACAAATTTTTTTGATATATTATTATATCTAAACCTAATAGAATATTAACAAAAAATTCTTTTAATAAAAAGTATATATAATCATATAATTTCAACAAGAGCTTTTGATAAAATTATTTTTATTTTTCTATCAAAAATAAGGAATATATAATTTTGACAAATCTGAATATGATGTCTAGATTCTATTACTAGAAAAATCACTACAGTCATATCTTGATATAATAAAGTTGCTGATCTAGCTGATCAGGATTTTGTTATAAGAATTTTCATTAACATTATAATGAATTATTTAATATAATGAATAATTTGTTATAGTGTTAACGAATTATTCATTATAGTAGATAATTACTGATTTCATTACACAAATATAATTTTACTATGATATAATTTTTCTAAAAATATTTTCACGTTATTTTGTAAATTCTAGTCATTTTATTTTAACATGTAATCTGTTAATCGTTATACAATAGTTTTATTAATTTACTTAAATTTTTTTTTAAAATAAAATAAAAATAAAATAAAATAAATGAAAAATAAAAATGAAATGAAAAGAAAACTAAACGAGACAAAAAAACAAATTAAAAAACTAAAATGAAACTATAAAATGAAATTAAGTAAATGAGACAAGATAAAAAAACAAAATTAAAAAAACAAAAAGAAACTAAAACAAAATTAGAAAAATGAAAAGAAACAAAAAAATGAAATTAGAAAAATGAAATGAAACAGGAAAATGAAACGAAATGAAAAAATAAAAAATAAAACAAAATTAAATATATAATACGAAAAGAAAAAATGAATAATACAAAAAAAAAATAAAATTAAACAAACAATAAGAAAAAAACCAAAATTTTATTGCCTTGCAGGCACGTTGCAATTTTGCCATCTATTTCAGTTTTACCTTATAGGCTCATTACGATTTTGCCTTATGTTTCATATTTGCCTTGTAATAGGCAAATTACGATTTCTCCTACGAGTATACCTCGATTTTAAAAAGTAAATATATTTAATATAAATCTAAAAAATCATTTAAACATTTTTAATTATTACCTGGCCTATCCAGAATTGAATCTTGAAGAGATCGTATAATCTTTTCATAGTATAAGTCCACCTCTCACCTCTTCTCGCTTTATTTCAATAATCGCAAAAATCTTAAAAGATATTAATTATACTGTTAAGTTATATTTATCATTATATTATTATTTATTTACTTACTTACATTATAATCCTGTATTAAATTCCTTTATTTTAACTTACATTAGTGAGTTGAATATGTTGTATCAAATTTTTGATTAATTTATCGAGCTACATTCTTCTAGAATCCTGTCTTATTACCTCTGTACCTTACATGATACTCTTTGTTTCTCCTCCTTTTTTTCTTAACTAATAAGTCTATTTAGTTATCCTTCCAAATGATTCTTGTAGTTATTTTTATATTTGTAAAAAAAATATAATTTAATAGAGTAAATTAAAGTGATTTAAAGGTTGATTTAAATTTCAAAAGGTGAAAATTATATGATAGTAAAAAATACTTCCCTTTATAAATAAATTTATCTATTGATTTGATATCTTATGAAATTCTTTACTCATAATTGAAATAATACAATTTTGATTAAAATTCTGATTTGTATTAAAACAAAAGGTTAAAATAATAATATAAGTATTATATTATAATTATACATCATATTATTTATAAAAATTAGATCTCTAAATATAACAAGCAAAACTCATAATTGAAATAATACAAAAAGAACTCTTTGTGATCGAAATTCTGATTTGTATAAAAATAAAAATTAAAATAATAATACATTGTATTTATAAAAATTAGATCTATCTAAAAATAACTTACGCAAATTAATAAATATAATACATCAGACAATCAGAGTAAATCAACAATAACAAATCATCATCTCAGTGATAAATACAAAATCATTATAAAATTATTTGTTACAATTTAGTAAAAAAAATCAATAAGCAATTTTAACATAAGTTCAACAAAAATTGGTTAAAAATTAATAAAAAACAATGTGATTTCTTGACACAATTTCAACAAAATTTCAACAAAATTTTAACACAATCACAAGAATGTTATTTAATCAATACATCAAAATTTCTTGTGATTATGATGTCATTTTATTCTGTAAAAAGTAAAAAAAAACTGTAAAAATTATTGCGTAACTTTTCAAATTATTATTTTATTATAGTAATAAATTTATCGAGATTAGTTTGTTTTGAAGAAACAAATTGTTATTTTAAAACTTCTTTTCTAAGTTTTTTAATAAACCTTAACTCTTCTTTTTTTATGTCAAAAGATTTTTCTTGCTGCTTCAAATATAAAATTACTTTATCATAAACTTCAATAACTTCCCTAAAAATAATTATTAGTGATAAAGAATCTTCCTCTCTTTTGTCTTCTTGATCAGGTAAAACTGCTTTTAAAATTTCTTCATTAGATATCATTTTATCTATAATCTCAGACTTATCATACTTGACAAATTCTTCAGCAGAAAAAGAATTGTCAAAATCTAGTTTATTGATTAATACTTGAACTTCTTTCATCTCCTTTAACTATTTAAGTTCAAGTAATATATCATTATCAGTTTCATTCTCATTTTCATGATTATCTTTAGGTAAAATATCTGCTTTCACCTAACAATTTTCAATTGTTTTATTTGTAACATTATCTTATGCTTATATAACGTATTTTATACAATTTTTAATATCAATTTTAGAGAGTTCATTACGATATTCATTAAATTTATCAAAAGCTTTAACCCAATTTTATAAATAAAACTTTTGATATTGTGCCTAAAATAAGTTGAATTAGAATTAAGTATAAATAAAGTTAATGTCAATTATATTTTAACTAAAGAATTATTAAATTAATTACATTTCTCACCTTAAAACTATTTATGATATCTTGATTACAAGGTTAAAGGTGCGCAGTGATGTTTGAAAGGAGGGATAAATGGTGATGTTAATCATGCAGGTGGTTTTATAAAGAGCATGTGTCAGAGCATTATCTACAAGAAGGATAATTTTCTGATTTTGTCTTCCCATTTTTGTATTAAGTTTTTTATGTAATTGTTTTAGATTGAAACCTGCATCCAACTTTTTTTAGTTTCAATAGTATTCAACTAGAAGCATTTTTTTATCAATATTTTTGATAACCCTAGGATTTTCATACCTGTGTATGAACAAAGATGTCAGCTTTTCACTTTCTGTTACGTTACATGTGAGTAGGATCATTATATAATCCTTTGATTGTATTACACCTAAAATTAATATGCAAAAATAATCTACAAGACTAAAAAGGATGATTATTTTCATGTCATATTAAAATGATTTGCAGTACTGTAACTAAATTAGATAATTAAATGATTTACATGTCTTATTTTCTAAATTTGATAGTCTAATTTTATTATATAAATAAGCCTTATTACGTCATTCATTATTAATGATATTTATTTTATTTATTTTATTTTATTCATTTATATTATTTATCTATTATATTTATTTTATCGTTATTAGTGAGTATTTTTATATAAATAGGAGTAATTCATTAATGTAAAAAGGAAAAGAACCATCTTATCTTGAATAATTCTTTTGATAAATAAACTGTTTAGTACAGACATTCTGACAGAGACAGTATTAGTCTTTTATTTGTTAAATAATTATTTGCACATATTTCACTCAATTTATAGTAATTCTCTTTAATTTCTTATTGTGTATCTTTATCTTTACTCTTCTGTATAAAGGAAACCTTCTGCTAAACTATGATATTGTAGGTAATTTACCCGCAATCTAAAAGAACTGGTATAATAATTATTTCTTTCCTGATATTTATTTGTTAGATATCGTTCAACATGATTTTATCTTTCAAAATAGTCCTATTTTATCACAATTAAATATATCTTTAGGACTATATTCTTTTAATATTTACCAGAGATTCTCTCTCATTATTTTGAGATCTTTAAGTAGTGCACTTGTTTCCCTATATATATGGTACTATTTAAGGTTGTGTCATTTTTTAAAATTATCCACCTAACCACTAAACCCTTTAAACTTATTCTCCTTTAATAAAAAAGCAAAACTTAAGGCTTTTGTTAAAAAAATATCATCAGTAATA